AGTCAAATTTTCAGACTAACAAGACAAATAATCTTACACATTCTGAAAACAAGATTATTATTCTTACACAATCAGTTCTTGCTTAGTAAATCAGTCTCAAAACAAGATAAAAAAGACTTTTTGGCTGATATAAGATTTTAAAACTTGGTTAGGTGGACATTTTTGCAGTGTAAAGAACTACTACTACTACTATACTACTACTACTACTACTAATACTACTACTACTGCTACTACTACTACTACTAAAGTAGGCCTATGAGCGCATGCGGCTTTAAATTATTAGTTATTTTCTGAAAAATCTGCCTAAAACACAGATCTCTTTATACAGGATAAACCAGCCCCAATGATAACATTTTTTTTTTCCATTTCCTGGCTGCACCAAACAGTGAAATTAAGAATCACAGGACAGCTTTCTAAAAACTAAGCCAGCATGAAGCTCTTCAAAACKTAAATAAAATAAAATAAAAACACAACAAATCTTACTTGTATTTCAGTTGTTATAGCAGACAGGTGGAATTCACATTTCTAGTGTGAAGAGTCCTAGCGTCTGTATGTGCTTTATGATGTTTTGTTTTTATCCTCTTGCTCTGCAGGAAGCACACTTATGCAAGATCTCAATTAAAAGTAGCATCTGAAATCCCTTTTGCCTGACTGGTATAAAGGGAACTGTGGGTGCACCTGTTGACTGAACTGCCAGGTTGGTTTGTTTTCTCTTCACAAACTGAGAACCAGTGAAGGTGAAAGCTAACCTTGGTTTTCCTTTCATCTTCTTTTTAAGTTACAGGAGGCGGCTCTGATTTAGAGTATGATTAAATGGGAACACTATTACTGCAGAATATATAAACTTACTGCACTATGTCATCAGAAAGTTGGAACAAATCCTGAATATCAATCACAACAAATGTCATTTTTCCCCTTACAGTAAACAGAAACACAATGACCAAAACAATATTCAGTGCTAAAAGGTTTTTATATATTTTAGGTGTCGATAAACAACTTTTACAAAAGAATATTCTCCTCCTGGCATAAGGATCCCATCACATGTTTTATAACAATCCCCTGTACTTCTGTGACTCTGAGCAGGAATGCATGCTCCCTGGTGGATGGATTCGATTTCATTTAATTGTCCTGAATGAGCAGAGGACGACCCTGTCATATAAGCCTCATCCTACAGGTGATAGGTACATTAACATCATTCTGTTTCTCAAATGCACTTTTGCCTTTCTCCAAAGTGTCCTGATGCATCTCAGTAATCCAGGTAAAAAAATCAAAAAGAAAAAAAATTGTATAGGTCTTCTGGACGGGTTCTTCTCTAATGAAACATTTCGTCTCTCCTCCAAGAGACTTCTTCAGTCAAAACCCAAAATACATTACGGCAAAGGCTGGTTCACCCCAAAGATCCGGTGCCCCGGCACAAACAGAGCAATGTTGTATAT